CCTCTTGGAACTTGGGATTGCGAGGGGAGGGACCCGTCACCCGCTTCATTCCATTCATAAATGATGGCTAAAAAAACTTAATTCTTCCCCACACGCCAAACTCAATCGTCCCGAGCCAAACGCACGCCTGAAGCACGACAACAACTCCACTCGTGGCAGTATCCGACACAGCGACGCGCGAGGAGCGGCGTCATTCGAGCCGTTGCGACGCTTGAATTATTTCAAGCTGCTGGGAAGTGATTAGCCTGCGGGCGACATAGACTTGCAAATGAGCGCGTCTTTCGACTTTGTCCTCTCCTCCCCGTCCCGCCGGAAGGCTGGGATGCTCCCGCTGAAGTTCGATCCCATGTTCTGCTGCGCCTAGGCCGCCGCAGACGCAGTTTTCTCTGCTGCCGTTCGTACTTCTGATACGAATTGTAAATTGCACCGCCCGTGGCGGGGCGCGCGAGGAGCAAATTAATGCGTTCGCGTGAAAGACAGCCGTGCCGCATTGACTCCCCCCCCCCCCCCCCCCTAGGCTTGATATCTTACCACACGCGATAGAAAGGAAAATCCTCAATCGTGATATGGGTCTATCGAGCTGGGAACATGACGACTATGGAAGGCTTACTGACTGCGGGGGGAAGGGGGGGGGGGGGGGGCGATCATTCGGTACAGTTCGTGGCAGTAAGATTATTGACTGATGTTTTTTTTTGTGTTTGTCTTACGTCGTCGTTTATAGGTGTGCGTGCGAGGCAAGCGATGGGCTTTGTGGGGGAAGTGAAGAGAACCGCTTTCTTGAGGTTTGAGGTGTGCACGACAGCATGTTTTTGTTTTCTGTATTTGTCGTTTGATTGTTTTCCATGACGTGTGCGCTTTCTATGATGGTTCCAAGTAATTGAAGGTTCTTAGAATGGCGGTTTGGTTTTCTGTCTTCGATTGAGTTGTATCTGTTTGGCACGGCTGGATGTAGCCAGGTGGCAGAAGCAAACCTTTCGGGCGGGAGCGTTTATCCTGAGATCTGCCGGCTGGCTCAAATCGTCGGCATCAATAATTCAGGGCCCTCACTTTTGGTTTTTATTTTCGCTCGTTAGCCTTTTCTTTACTTTTTTTAAGTTCCTACACGGCTATAGTATTATTATAGGTGGGGTGATAATAGCTATATTGCTTCTGTCACAGAAGATTTGGCAGCGCCAACATTATTGTAATGGTGGAAAATGTTTATGGGAAATTTCTTACCGTGAGAACATATAAGCGAAAATAAATAAAGCAGCACTATTCAACAGATTCATAATGATGGGTTAAATACCAATGAGTACGGTGAAATAGCACCATATTTAATATTATATACTTCGTGTTTCCTTTGAGCCCATAACACTTCGTTCATGCATGCCCGCGATTATTATAGTATTATTGGTAAAATAACCTGAAAGTAATACTGTCATTTTTTTATTTTCTTAAAATTGGTACTATTGATGAGGTAGGCGTCACTTCGACAGCGGGTCTAAATCGAGTAATGAATTACTCTCTTCATTTCGCGCTCACAATGAATTAATTACCTTATAGGGTAACTGCGGTCGATATTTCGAATTTGGGATCACTAAAGCTTTCAGCTGAAGCATCGTCCCTGAATTATAAGGTATCATTTTTTTCTCGATATTGTGCGTGGTTTTATAAATATCACTGCTCAAAATTTGGTTTCGGGCGTCTACGGCCAAACCGAAACTATCTGCTGGGGGGGATGGCAACATTGCTCATCAGCCGTACGGCCGCCACGGGACGACACAATATTCGGTACAACCGATCAACCGTAGCTCTACCATGACGTGGAATTACAAGGATGTTGCGCCACTGTTCGTTGACTAAAATTCAACGTTACTAGATTACTTCAGTAACGGAACTCCCGCATAAGGGGTACCCTTTACGCGGGAGTTCCACAACTGGCGAGTGAAGGAGCCTCATTCACCTAAGTCCGCCTCCTATCGTTCGAAGCGCCATCTAGATTTTTGTTTACAAACCGAGTTTTCTATTGAGCAGAGCTGGAGCGCCATCTAGACCTGTGCTTCGAAACGTCCGTGTTCCATAGAATACACTGCGGTTACCATAGCAGCCGTCCGGCGCGACGAACGACAGGGGGCGAGTAATGGTGAGTCAGGGGGGTACTGCTCGTGCAAGCAGGCGTCTATGAGCACTTTTCTAACTGAGCTAATCTAGAAGGGAGTTTTAGTAGATCGTTTTCGTCGTCCCGCAAGACCCTCCGCAACCCGCTACGATACCGGGAGCTCTACAGTCAAGGCTATCGGCGCCCAGGCGCAGTAGCAACTTCTTCGTTACGGAACGCTTAGCGGAGGGGGCAACGCGGTCTAGGAAAACTTCCTAATAACTCTGCGAAAAGCTAAGCCGCTTACCGCTCGCTAAAGAACAGCCAATCGCACCTCTAAAATCGATTATAATGGAGTTCGCGACTTCACTCAGACGTATAATATTTCGGCTGTGACCATATTTGGTGTCACAAATCATATATTTTGGTTTCGTTTTCTATTGGAGTTGCCCTTTAACAGTCAACGTTTTTCTTCAGTCTCATGTAGACTGCACGAAGTCGGTCAAGCCAAATTCACAACCGTATACCCATTGCAGAAAAAAGAAATGAAAGATTGGTGTAAAAAATAAATAAGTATTGGAAGTGTCCTATTCCGCATAATAACTTTTATGGCTCGAAATATTTAAAAGTAGGGGTAGAAACCTTTCTCGCATAGATGGTGGAAGTCACCGTCCGATATGTAAGGTACATCAATTATAGTCTTTTTCATTCAGAGTCCGAGAGCAGACGAGGCAACAGAGGCGTTCGTTGTTTTTTTTTGTTTTTTTTTGTGGGCTTGAAATTATTGAGTAAACCAATCACAAACAGGGGATACGCCATTATCCTGCGCAATTTACTGCGCCTGATTTGTTTTAACAGGTGACCTCGAACGCACAAATAAGACAAGCCCCATGACCATGCACTTTTTATGCTGCTTGATTACCTCCATCAGAACGCAGAGTCTTCTGCGTTCGGTCGTATTGTGTAATGTTGTATAATATATTCATTCATTCATTCATTCATTTAATCATTCATTCATGCTGTAAACCTATTTAGGGCTTTTACAGTAGCAAAGCCGGAGATCTCACTGAATATGCGTCATACAAAAGACAGTCTGCACACAAATTCGAACCCAAGTCACGGCGAGGTCCGTGCTTCGAATGCCGCATGGCAATGAGTTTAAGGAGGAAACTTGGCACACGGCCTTTGAACGACGGATATTCCGGTGACTCGTGTTTGCAGACTGTCTTTTGTATAATGATATGAGCAGTATCACTCGAACTTAAAGGTATAAATGAATACAAAACAAAAACAAGACGCTTTGCAACAGGTGGTATATTCAGCAAAAAAAAAACGCATTGCAGTAAAGTTACAAGAGTACACAAAACAAAAACAAACTATAAAATCAAGACATATTACGACCGATCACCATAATCAGTAAAACAAAACAAAAAATTCGGAAGACACCTAAGCCCTTCTTATGAGCTGTGAATGCGAAAGCATGAATGTCTGGCGATGTGGATGCTAGAGGCGACGCCATGTTCGTCGGCGGCGAGACGAGCAGAAGCCTCTGACCGCGCGCCAACGTGTCCGTTTCAACCGCCGCGGGGCCCGTAGTGACGTGGGGTTGCGACGGTTAGTTTTATCGGCGCGCTGGCGGCACGGACACGCAGCGCCATCTGGAGGTGGTCCTTAAAACTGATACGCGCAGCGGCCAATGGGAGCCTCGTCGCCGCGCGCCAGCCAATGGGACCTTTGGGATCAGGGAAACTAGGTGCCGTTTTCGCGATTCAAACTGATAACGTCGGCCCGCTCCATGGGACAGTTAATGCTTTCGCATTAAAACACGTGCAGTAACGCGGGACTAAGCCTACCAAACGCCCTTAAAATGACGTTTGTAAAATACGGATCTTCCTAGCAGAAATATTAAAAAAAAGGGAACGAGACACAGACGGTGAGATACAGACACAGATGTCCTCCTTTTGTTTCATTCTTTCTCCTAGAAGTATTTTTATACCAGCACACTGGTTACAAATGTAATATGTGAATCACTAATTAATTTATTATTTATCGTTAGAGACTTTTAGTGAACCGTCACTGTGTTCGGCGTACCACACTGCTGGTGCCCTTGAAGCATGCTTTTAAAGGAGCCATGAAAAAGTTTTCCATTGTGGCTAAATACTACTTAGAATCACTCCTTAGCGTTGATAACAGAATCAAGAAGCCTTAGTTTTTTTTTCTTTTTAGGCAACCGCAGTCACCAAACAAATTCTAGAAATATTAGTATCGTTTAACCCCCCGAACTCGGAGTCGCAACAAGCTGCCACGTGACCTGGTGCCTACACTATGCCGTCAGCGCTAATCATGGCCATGCGTTGGGATTGGCTCAGTAGAAAATGCGTGCTGAGCTCCAGGCATTGTTCGGCTATTCTCATCACCGCAGTGGTTGGGCACAAGCCCCTACCCGAGTGTCCACCGAGGCATCGATTGATAGGAGCCGAAATCGAGTGCTCATGCAGTTCTCGTGTCCAATCCATGATCCGCGCTCGACTGTCGTCAGGTGGGTGGCTTCGATTCTACAATTCCGCCAGCAAGCGTTGCGAAGGCAAGACTGAAATAAATAGTTCCCTTTTATCCTCGCAATTCCACCGCGACAAGGAAGCTTCTGAATCGGTCGCGGTTTGTGCGATTGTAGTTCCGCCAGACAACGACCAGTACGCCTCTGCGAAGTCATAAACATTCCAACTCGATATCGTTTCATGGCCCCTTTAAACGCTCGCCCAGAGTAATGCCTTGACCGCGGGGCGCGCGCTTCAAAGGCGGTGAGGTAGTGCGGTTCGTGGTACGCAATACCGGTTTGCTAAAAGCCTCTATACTCATATCCATTTCTTCATTAATCTATCAAAGTTCGTGCTTAGTTCGCGTGTCGCATTTTGCGCAGACACGTCCAACTACCTGCCACCCCGCATCCGTCGCCTGAAGCAGACCGTGAGGCTATCCGCAGGGGACCCCCTGCGGCTGGCTTGCGTCGCCCAGGGCTACCCGGCGCCCTCGTACCGCTGGTTCCGCAAGGACGACTCCCTCGTGCTGCCCATGGCCACCGGCGGCGGCGGCCGGGTCCGAGTCTTCCGGGGCTTCCTCCTGATCCAGTCGACCGTGCGCCAGGACGCTGGCACGTACGTCTGCGCCGCTAACAACTCGGCCGGTGAAGACCGCACGCAGTTCGAGGTCGTCGTGACAAGTACGTGCCAGCTCCCACTTCACGCTGCGGGGTGTGACACGCCAGTGCCTGAAGTCAAAGGGGGGGGGGGGGGGGGGGGCGGGAGGAGAGGGCGGGGGTCTCGTGAGGTCAAACCACCCCCCCTCTCCCCCCCCCCCCCCCCCCACCCTGGTTTATGACTTGATAACCGCAGACATTGTCTGCAGATTTGTTCGATCCATGCGTATATGTGAGACAAACATGCTTTGAATATTCCTGAGACGTGTCCTCGGACAATTCGGTTGTCATGTCTGCAGCAAGCAAAGTGTCTTTTGTTTGACGTGTGAACATCGTGAGTGCGGTTTCAGTACTGGATCTTGCAATATGACACGATCCGATTTAGCCAATTCAGGGTTTGTTGGGTAACGATGTCCAGAGATACAAAAAGTGTAATGTAAGTAGCCATTTCTACTGGAGAGGACCCGATTTTTGAGAGGAATCATATTTTTCGAAATGATACAATAATATGGCGTCACGTTACATCACGGTCACGTGAGGTCGTGGTGTCACGCATGACGTCACACATTCGAATGACGTCATAATATTATCGTCCCGTCTAGTTAAGAACCCATCACGGTCACGTGAGGTCGTGGCGTCACGCATGACGTCACACATTCGAATGACCTCATAATATTATCGTCCCGTCTAGTTAAGAACCCATCCGGGTTCTTAACGAGGGTTTATGATATAATTCGGCTGACGAAAGACATTCCGTGTTAAAAACGAGACGAACAACGAACAAATCCGGAGTGGAAATTTGTCTGGTTCTTGCACAGAGGTTGCGATGATGTCGAACGCCAAGCTATTATTGGCTGATTGACAATTTAAATAGGGCTCTTTAAATAATTAAAAGCGCCGAAAAAGACAAGGACAAAGAAGTGGAACGACACAAGGCGCAAGTCGTTCCACTTCTTTGTCCTTATCTTTTTCGGCGGTTTTAATTATTTAAAGAACCATGAACCAACTGGCTCAACTTTCCACTTTCCTTAAATAGGGCGTAGACCTCAATCTAGCAATGAGATCGACCCGCTATTTTTCCAATCAAAGCCAATCAGAACTCGGCATCGTTCTGACGTTACCGCAACGCAAGAAGCAGACGATATGTTCATCTCATTGACATTTGTTTCTATGACTGTCCTGTGCGCGCTCAGTGTCCCTGAAGGTGAGCGTGAGCCCCGGCACGGTGTTGACGCAAGAGGGCAAGACGGTCGTGTTCAACTGCTCGGTGCGGGGCTTTCCGGTGTCCTCGGTGAGCTGGATGAAGAACCAGCAGCTGCTCGTTCCCAGCAACCGTGTGCGCGCCGTCGGACAGACTGTGCTACACATCAGCGGCGTCCAGCGCGCCGACCGGGGAATGTACCAGTGCGTCGCCCACGGCCACGACAGCTCGGCGCAGGGCGCGGCGCAGCTTGTGCTCGAAGGTAAAGGGACACAACTCCGCTACGCCTAGAAGCCATGCACAAACTGATATTCGTCGTTCTTTATTCCTTTTTTTATTGCGGATTTCATAAACATCTGTACCAAATCACTTGCGGTAAATGCGACAGGTCAATACATTCACCTCGCTTGGACGTGCAATCAATATTATTGCGTTTGTTTTATCTTTATTTTTGCTGTGGGTTATATAGACATCAGTACCGATTGATAACTTGTGATAAACCCCTGGTTTATATGTTTACTACACTTAGAGGTCAAATAGATTAGGTGATTTTTTTCACTAAGGGTTTTATAAATATTTCTACTAACCAATCACTTCATACAAATGCGACTGGTCTATAAGCTCACTACACTTCGAGGTCAGATATAGCATTGCATAGCTATTTATGCGACAGCGCTAAGTGTTACGAGACGGCGATAATATGTGCGCTCGTACGTCACGGCTCGATTGTTAGGTTTAGTGTTTTCTCGCTAAATACAGTGGTATATAACCTCAGATGGGGCATGCTTATGCACCAATAAAATTTCCTCTCTAAACGTCGATTGAAGCGTTTACCTAATAAAATTATCTATGAAATTTATAATTGTGTAGCAGAGATTTATTCACCCGTTCTATATCAGAATATTTAAAAGTTACGTTTTTTTATTAGTTCAGGTGTTAACGTTTGTGGCGAAATACGTGCAACAGGCATAAACTGAACTAGTTGGTTTATACATCATATAAGGTCAGCTGAACTAAAATGAACATACACAACAAAAAGACGATAGACATCTGTGGACTAACAACTACTTTTCTTTTTCACCTTTTCTACTACGCACCCCACATTAGAAAAATATTCTCTTTCCTTTTTCGAATGAAGTTTATAAAGGATAAAGTTCATTCTCTCTCTCTTCCTTCTTCGTCTTCCTTCCTTGTCCATCAAATATTTAAGACCCGAAGAAATGTTTCCTTTTTCTTTTCTCGTGCAACGCGAAAGAAGATGCACTAAAGCATTTATCGCCCTTTGCCTCAATGCAAAGGCCGCTAGAATTTCAGGTTCCAAATATATCTTGTTCTTTGTCACGATGTTTACGTCGGAGAACCGTGTTGATCATTGACACGCACGACAATCGGTTAGCAAATGTCCTCCTGCTGGCAGGTTTTTCACTGATGTAGCGTGCTCCCTTGTCCGATCTTGATGCATCAGCCGGTTCGTCCAAAGTAACTTCGGCCGCATGTCAACAGAATGTGGTACACCACCTTGCCTTTAGACAGGGCCTATTGAGACTTGTGAGCTGTGCCACACGCCCCCTCGTTGTTACTTCGCTCCTGGCTAACGCCGTGACACGTGGAAGAGGCATTGTTCGGAGCCAAACATACCGCCTGAACGTCTTGCGTCCAAAAACCAGCAAGTCTTGAAAATCTTCAGGTCAGAGTCATATGGCGTCAAGTACGGTTACTCACAGATTTTCTGAGAATAAAATTCTCCAGCTACAACACATTCCTAAACCAAATTACGACGACAAGATGCATTGCAAAGTGTTTTTGGAAAGAATGCTTTCCTCTTACAAGGATATTTCACATAGGAAGAAACAGCAAGGCCCGTCAAGAAATGTTGCCAATGCAGGTAATTGGAGATGTTAGTCTTTCGGCGTAGGCGAAACGTGTGCTTGAAAAATGACCAAAAATTGTAATTCCAATAGAGATGAAAGCAGTGGACAAAGAGACGCTAGTACGGTACATTCTATCAAACGCGTCCGAAGAGAAAGCATCACAGATCATTAATGAAGGGACTGACTGCCTAGCGAGCCTGAGGAGCCAAGCGCATCTTAAATTTAGTTTTAGAACAACCTTGCATTAATTGCGGATCAAAGCCTCAGGCTTTGTGTAGTCCATAAAAAGGGAGGGTTTCCGGTGCTGGATTTTAAAATGTATTGGGAAAAGGCGACTCAAGCCGTGGCTCAAAATTTCCTCCCATTGGAGCAAAAAATAACTATATCAGCAAAAAAAGGCCATTCTCAAGATATATGAAGACGACTTTCAAAGAAGTCTCGTAACAAAAGTCAAAGGAACAAGGTAGACCCACCTGTTTGTGTTTTTTTTTTTTTTTTTCAGCAAGAGCACAGAGGGACGGGTTTTATTTTCGGGCTGTAGCTTCGGAAAGAAACACACGACAAGGACAGGTGTCGACCTGTCTGGCAAAGAAATTTCCCCCCAGTGTACGGTGCAAGATCCTTTCAGGATTCCCAACTCCGAAAGTGTGATCGCCTTCCTTCGGGAGAAGGAGTCTGACATCGTTTCCGGGATTTTCATTGACATTCAGGACGTTTATTACGCTATACCACAAGCAAACTTGCTATCGATTCTTCGAATAACCATCGAGCAACAGTCGTAGCCTTCCAAAAGACAGCCTCATAAGCCTGAACAGTTTCTTGGAGCTTCTACGTGTTTGCCTGACGGCAACAGTAGTGTCGCACGAGAATTGCGCATATCTACAAAGGAGTAGCGTACGTACTGGGTCACGCATGGCCCCGTACCTCAGCGATGTTTTCCTCGAGGTTTGCGGAATAGAGAAAAATTCAAGAAAGATGAAAAGATCCAAGGATTGAAGGTATGTGTAAGTACGTCGATGATATTCTCATTGTATGCAACACAAAGGTTGACGAATAGAACGGTGTCGAGAAACAGTTTCGCGATACTTAGAACAGACCTGTTTGGGGCTCATTATCGGCCATGAACTCCCCGTGGATAATTCCTTCATATTCCTGGACCTGGCATTGGAATTCAGCAGTAACCAGGTGTGCTGGAGATGCCAAGCCACGTCATGCAAAGGCTTCCGACTTTTAGACTCAGGACAATCTGACAATGTGAAACAAGGTATTTCCACCTCGGCCTATTTATACGCCCTAAACAAGCCTTGTCACCATCAGGTCAAGCGAAGTTTTAAAAATCCGGTCTTGAGAAAAATCGCACCTGGTAGCGATTTGCGAGCAGTTCTGCAGGACCAGCGAGAGCGGATTTTGGTTAATGGATGAAACTACAAAGGAAACAAAAAAGACTCGACAAGCGGTGGTGGTAGCGCCCTATGTTCTAGGAATTAGCCACAAGTTAAGAAGGTTTCTTGGACGCAAGACGTTCAGGTGGTGTGTTTGGCTCCGAACAAAGCCTCTTCCATGTGTCACAAAGTTAGCCAGAAGCGAAGCAACAACGAGAGGGTGTGTGGCACAGCTCACAAATCTCAATAAGAGCGAGGTGGTGCGCCACATTCTGCTGACATGCGGACGAAGTTACATTGGAGAAAACGGCCATTGCATCAACGATCGGATGAGGGAGCACGCTACGTCATTGAAAAACCTGTCAGCAGGAGGAAATTTGCCGACCCATTATCCTGCATGTCAATGTTCAGCACGGTTCTACGACGTAAACTTCGTGGCAAACAACAGGAGGAGACTGGGAAGTGAAATCCTGCGGACCCTTGCCATTGAGGAAAAGGGCGATAACTGCTTGCACGAGAAAGCAAGAAAATGTTCCTTCGATGTTAAATATTCGGAGAAGTAGGAGGGAAGAAGAAAAAATAATATTTCCATCACGGGGGGGTTGTAGTGGGGTTCGTAGTAGAAGAGGAGGAGAAAGAAAAGCAGTTGTTATTCGGAGAAGTAGAAGGAAGAAAAAGAAAAAAAGAATATTTCTTCACGTGGGGGTTCGTAGTAGAAGAGGAGTTGTTGTCCAGCGGTGTGTATGATCTTTTCTTCCCAGGGATCCCGGGTTCAATCCCCATCCCTGCTTGTTTCGATCTGGGTTAGCATCGTACCGGCGTGCGGTCGTGTATCACTACTGCGTGGTGCACGTTAAATACCCAAAGTTAGCGGTTGTACAGCACTGGCCAGATTGCTCATCTACAGCTGAGACACCAGACGCCTACTGGTGTAGACCAGACTAACTTCCGGGAGTATAAACATACACGCAACAATTTGCTTTGCTTTATCTTCTCTTTGTGCGTGTTTATTTTGTTCAGCTGACCCTATCTAAACGTCGTGCTATCGGACGTCGTTTAATGTACCTTGAATTCAATACAAATTGTAATATTGAAACCTTCGAAGACCACACCGATGCACAGTACGCAACTGAAAGCTAGTCGGTCGCCTACGGAAGCGTACAGTCAGTGACAGCCTATAAAACGTGAGGCATGACTTGTAATCTTCATGCTTCTTTTCTCGGGATTGGTCTTACGTCGTTCTTATCGGCTAATGCAGCAATATGACTTGGTGTGGAACGATGAGTAAGAAGCTCAAGAATCGCCACGCGCCGCGTGTCTTAAAACTGTGTGTGATTGCAGTTGCTTTCGGATAAATATATATTTGCGCATTACGTCGGTGTAGTTCACGATAACAACCAATCAAAAGGTGTATTTCGAGTGCCCACATACACTGTACCGAATCACCCAGTCAATGTTATTTACGGGGGAAGTTAAAACAAAAACGCAATTACCATAATAAGAACGTATACGTTTTTATTATGGTAATTTCGTTTTTGTTTTAACTAGTTTTAATTTCAGTTAATTTTAGTCGATACTATAGTATCGACTAAAATTAAAATTGGGCTATGGCATTAAGTGCGGATAATGATATTCCATGGAACAAGAGGGACAAAGGACAAACATAAATCTCCGAACACTAGTATAGGTGACTGCTGAGCGACTGCAAAATTCCGCCTGGTCCTCCAGGTATTGAACCAGGGACCTCTACATTTCTAGGGCAGCGCTCAACAAACTAGTCAGACCTTGGACCAGGAATTGGGCGTCAGTAGAGCAAACGGGTTTTAACAGCTGCTACCAGTCGGAGTACCAACAATTATGAAAGACCTCGTTGGTGTTGGGTAGAGCGCTCCACTGGAAATGAAGAGGTCCCTGGTTTGATACCCGGACCAGGCGTATTTTTACAGTGTCGCACCAGTCACCTAGTTCCGTTTGTAGATTTGCGTTTGTTCCTTGTCCCCCCTTTTCCA